GGATTTGCTTTAGAAAGCTCCAAAAAGGGGCGCCTGGGTGGCTCAGTCGTTAAGCGTCTGCCTTCGGCTCAGGTCATGATCCCAGGGTCCTGGGATCGAGACCCGCGTCAGGCTCCTTGCTCTGTGGGAAGCCTGCTTCTCCCTCTCCCACTGCCCCTGCTTGTGTTCCTGCTCTCGCTAACTCTCTCTGTCAAATAAATAAATAAAATCTTAAAAAAAAAAAAGAAAGCTCCAAGAAAAACAACTGGAGGGGGCAGGGGAGAAGAGATCAGGTAACAACAGCATAAAGCCAGTGGTTGATAAGTCCTGGGGATGTGTACATGAGGGTTCGCTGCACTGTTCTATTTTTGTGTCCATTTAAAATTTTCTACAACATGTTTTTTTTTTTTTTTTTAAGATTTTATTTATTTGATAGAAACAGCGAGAGAGGGAACACAAGCAGGAGGAGTGAGAGAGGGAGAAGCAGGCTTCCCGCTGAGCAGGGAGCCCGATGTGGGGCTCGATCCCAGGACCCTGAGATCATGACCTGAGCCGAAGGCAGACGCTTAACGACTGAGCCACCCAGGCGCCCCTCTACAACACGTTTTAAAGGATTAGAAAAAAGTGAATTTTAAAATTAGAAGCATCTGGGGCACCTGGGTGGCTCAGATGGTTAAGCGTCTGCCTTCAGCTCAGGTCATGATCTCCAGGTCCTGGGATCGAGCCCCACATCGTTGGGCTCCCTGGCTCAGCCAGGAATCTGCTTCTCCCTCTCCCCCTGCCACTCCCCCTGCTCATGGTCTCTCTCTGTATCTCTCTGTTTCAAATGAATAAATAAAAGTCTTTAAAAAAAATTAAAAAATAAAAATTAGAAGCATCCATCTAAAATCCTAGAGAACACAGGCAGCAACCTCAGCGACGTTGGCCTCAGCAACTTCTTGCTAGACATGTCTCCAAAGGCAAGGGAAACAAAGCAAAAATGAACTATTGGGACTTGACATCAAGATAAAAAGCTTTTGCACAGCAAAGGAAATAGTCGACAAAACAAAAAGACAACCAACAGGATGGGAGAAGATATTTGCAAATATCAGATAAAGCACTATTATCCAAAATCTATAAGGAACTTACCAAACTCAACACCCAAAGAACAAAAAATCCAATCAAGAAATGGGAAGAAGACGTGAACAGACATTTCTGCAAAGAAGACATCCAAATGGACAACAGAAAAAATGCTCAACATCACTCAGCATCAGGGAAATGCAAATCAAAACCACAATGAGATACCTCCTCACACCAATCAGAATGGCTAAAATTAACAAGTCAGGAAACGACAGATGTTGGCGAGGATGCAGAGAAAGGGGAACCCTCCTACACTGTTCAGGGGAATGCAAGCTGGTGCAGCCACTCTGGAAAACAGTATGGAAGTTCCTCAAATGGTTGCAAATAGAGCTACCCTATGACCCAGCAATTGCACTACTAGGCATTCACCCCAAAGATACAAATGTAGTGATCTGAAGGGGCACCTGCACCCCAATGTTTATAGCAGCAATGTCCACAATAGCCAAACTATGGAAAGAGCCCAGATGTCTATCGACAGATGAATGGATAAAGAAGATGTGGTATATATACCCAATGGAATACTACTCAGCTACCAAAAGAAAACGAAATCTGGGGCATCTGGGTGGCTCAGTCAGATAAGCATCTGCCTTCAGCTCAGGTCATGATCCCGGAATCCCGGGATTGAGTCCCACATCAGGCTCCCTGCTCAGAGGGAAGTCGGCTTCTCCCTCTGCCTCTCACCCCGCTTGTGCTTACTCTCGCTCTCTCTCTCTCAAATAAATAAATCTTAAAAAAAAACAAAAACAAAAAAACGAAATCTTACCATTTGTAACAACGTGGATGGAACTAGAGGGTATTATGCTAAGCAAAATAAGTCAATCAGAGAAAGACAACGATCATATGATTTCACTCATAGGTAGAATTTAAGAAACAAAACAGAGGATCATGGGGGAAGGGAGGGAAAAATAAAACAAACGAAATCAGAGAGGGAGACAAACCGTAAGAGACTCTTAATCATAGGAAACAAACTGAGGGTTGCTGGAGGGGAGGCGGGTGGGAGGGATGGGGTACCTGGGTGATGGGCATTAAGGAGGGCATGTGATGTAATGAGCACTGGGTATTTATAAGACTGATAAGGGGCACCTGAGTGGCTCAGTTGGTTGGGCTCAGGTCATGATCCTGGAATACTGGGATCAAGCCCCCCACTGGGTCCCCTGCTAAGGGGGGAGCCTGCTTCTCCCTCTGCCCCTCACCCTGTTCTTGCTCTCTCTTTTAAATAAATAAAATATTTTAAAAAAAGGCTGATCAATCACTGAACTCTACCTCTAAAACTAATAATACACATAAATTAACATAATTTAATTATGTTAATTAATTTAATTAACATGTTATTTAATTGAATTTAAATAAAAAATAAAAATTAGAACCAGTTACATGTTCTAATTAAATGTATGAAATCTGAGGGCGCCTGGGTGGCTCAGTTGGTTAAGCGACTGCCTTCGGCTCAGGTCATGATCCTGGAGTCCCTGGATCGAGTCCCGCATCGGGCTCCCTGCTCTGCAGGGAGTCTGCTTCTCCCTCCGACCCTCCCCGCTCTCATGTGCTCTCTCTCATTCTCTCAAATAAATAAATAAAATCTTTAAAAATAAATAAATAAATAAATAAATGTATGAAATCTGAGAACCTGCCAATATTTCAGAGAGGTGATTTTAAGGCATAGGTGAGGTTATAAGGGTTTTAAGAGATTAAAGTAAAATGCAGGAAGTTGGATGTCTGAGCACCCCTTTCAGGTCTTGAGAAAACAGGTGGAGCCCAAGGTGAAGCTGCCTTGTGTATGAAGCTTTCAGGGTTTTCCCAGTTTTTGCTCTGAAGTCTAAATGTAGGGGTGGTTTTTGTGTCTAGGGTTTTTTTTGGTATTGATTTGACAAATTTACCATAAAACTTCAGAATAAAAAGACATTACCCTCCTTACATTCTCATATAAATCTTTATCCTTTATTTTTTTATTTTTTAAAGATTTTATTTATTTATTTGAGAGAGAGAGAATGAGAGAGAGAGTATGAGAGGGGGGAGGGTCAGAGGGAGAAGCAGACTCCCTGCCGAGCAGGGAGCCTGATGCGGGACTCAATCCCGGGTCTCCAGGATCATGACCTGAGCCGAAGGCAATCTTTATTCTTTAAATAGTATCTCAAGAGACAGAGAGAGGCATAATCTTCTGTGGATAACAGCTCCTGCTAATTGTTACCTTAACTGCCTTCATAAACATGGGATTTGCGGTCAGGCAAAGAATCTCCCCAATTAAAGCAGCATATGGGAGAGCCTGGCCTTCAGGGAGTGGTGCTTTTGCCTTTCTTTCCTGCTATCTACAAAGATTTCTTGGAGCGCCTGGGTGACTCCGTTGGTTAAGCGTCCGACTCTTGGTTTCAGCTCAGGTTGTGATCTCGTGGCTGTGGGATCAAGCCCCATGTCGGGCTCTGTGCTCAGTGCGGAGTCTGCTTCAAATTCTCTCTCCCTCTCACTCACTCTCTCTCAAATAAATAAAATCTTCAAAAAATAATAAAAAAATAAAACATTTCTTATGGAAAAAAGTTCAAGGATAATTTGTTAGGACAAACATGTATTACTTCTGTCATTAAAAAAAATTTTAAGAACATATGTTCACACACAAACTGGTACGAGAATGTTCATAGCAGCACTATTCACAATAGCCAAAAAGTGGAAACCACCCAAGTGCCCATCAACTGATGACTGGATAAGTAAGATGTGATGCATCCATGCAACTGGATGTTACTTTTATTCCGTAGAAAGGAATACAGGACCAATTTGTGCTACTCATTCGGGCTACCACATCATGAATCTTGGAAACATTACGTTCAGTGGGAGAAGCCAGTCACAAAAGACCACATATTCTATGATTCCAGTTACATGGAATGTTCAGAGTAGGCAAATCCCTAGAGACAGAAAGGAGACCACTGGTTGCTCTAGGGCTGGGGTGGGGGTGGGGCTGAGGGAAAATGGGGAGTGGCTGCAAATGGGTACCCTACTGGGTTGATGGGTGTCCCCTCCACCCAAATTTGTAACAAAAATGTTCCAAAATTGATTGTGGTGATGGTTGTACAGCTCTGTGGATATACTAAAAGCCACTAAATTGTATACTCTAAATGGGTAAATTGTATGGAATGTAAATTATATTCCAATAAAGCTGTTATTAAAAAAACATTCAAAGCGGGCGCCTGGGTGGCTCAGTTGTTAAGCGTCTGCCTTCGGCTCGGGTCGTGATCCCAGGGTCCTGGGATCGAGCCCCGCATCGGGCTCCCTGCTCTGCGGGAAGCCTGCTTCTCCCTCTCCCACTCCCCCTGCTTGTGTTCCTTCAACATTTATATGTCTCTGTCAAATAAATAAATAAAATCTTTAAAAAAATAAAATAAAAAAACATTCAAAGCTATACAAAAATGACGGGGCGCATGGCTGGCTCAGTCATGGGAGTGCATGACTCTTGATCTCGGGGTTTTGAGTTTGAGCCCCACATTGGGTGCAGAGATTACTTAAAAATAAAATCGTAAGGAGGTGGGGGGATGGGGTAACTGGGGGCTGGGCATTAAGGAGGGCACCCGATGTAATGAGCACTGGGTATTCTATGCTACTGATGAATCACTAAAATCTACCTCTGAAACTAATAATACAGGATATGTTAACTGAGTTAAAAAAAAAAATCTTAAAAAAAAAAAAGCTATACAAAAATGCTGAAGAACTTTGAGAAGGATCTTGAATAATCCCAACAGGGAGAAATTCCCTTTCTGTCAGTAATTTAGGGTGTGGAGAGGTTGAGAGTTAAATATCAGATGTTGGTTAAAACCAGATGGGTTGCTAGGTCTGCTGCTGATCCGCTATACGGACTGTTGGCCTTTTAGGCAGAACTCTTTCAGTTGAAAGCCACAGAAAATCTACTCAACCAGGCTTAATGAAAACAACAATACAATTTTATCTCACATACTTGGAGTCCACGGTGGGCACTGGCATCCGGACAAGGTCACGGGAGCGATTTTGGTTTCCTTCGTTCTTGCCTTCATGCTCAAGCTGCCCGCATCTCTGTGTGGTGGCCCTTACAGTTCCTGGTACAAGAGGAGAGAGACTCTTTCTTGCTAGCTCTCACACAGTTCCGGGACTGTCCAGGGCTGGCTCCCATTCCTACAGCCAGGGAGTAAGGTTTGCTTCAACCAAGTTCCATGGGCAGAGCAGGATAGGGTGGCTCCCCCAAGGAAGAAAGGCTGGGTACACAAAACATGTCCACTACGCCAAAGGAAGCTCTAAAACTTGCAGAGATTTGAGCATCATCTCAGCCCCATAAATACCTGCCAAATCAATGTAGGAACACACAGAATGGAGCTACTGCAGAATCCTTTTAAAGCATCACATTCCAAATTCTTATTCCATATTTTAGAGAAGCAGTAACACACAAGTTAGGACAGATGCCAAGGTCATCAGCCAGATGCCATGTTAGCAGAGGGAGCTACTTCAATCAAGGATAGATTGTTCCGTGATCCAGAATTCTGTCCGAAGAGATAGGTCGCTCTGGTAGATAGCAGACCTTTTATTTTTCTTTTTTCCCTGACGCGGCCGCAAGAAACGCTAAGGCCGCAAGAAAACAAAGGAAGCAGCAGTCCAGTATGAAGAGCTGGAAAACACTCTGCTGCCAACAAGCGTGTTGCAGTTTGCCCTTCTTATTTGAACTGGTCATAATCCGGTGGGTGTCTGATCCAGGATCCGAAGGCCTGCTCTCGAAGCACAGTCCAGGCTTCCTGGTAAGCAGATGCAGCCTCCTTGTATTCGTGGTACGTCTCCAGCTTCCGCATCCTAAGGCACACACCAGCAAGCACACAGGCTCTCAGGGATCAGCTCAGCATGCTGGCCAACTGAGCCAGCAGCCGGACAGATTTCTAACAGAGACCTAGGAACAGACCTCGGAACGGGAAGATTTTGGTATGCTTTCCTATAGCAACTCTCTCTCCATTGCAGGAAATTCACCAGAAAGCAACATGAATTGAAACAAGTGATAATAAACAATGCTAGTCTTGTCTGCTCCTGGTGGAATCAGATAAAACAGGAATAACTACTTTTTGGTTTAAAGTGTTCTGGGAAATGGCTTACTGCAAAGAAGTCCCCTTCCCTATAAGACTCATGGATGCCCCTTCGGTCTACCTATGACGGACCCTCCAAACTCCCATTCTGTCTCAATGACTAGCTGAACTACCCACACACCAATCTGGACAAAATTCTTGCTTCCTTGACCAACATTAGTTATGCTTCTGTCCTTCTCCCAGGCCCTGAACTCTGACCCCTCCTCAGCGTGAGTGCGCATCAGAATGTGTAGTGACCCCTTCTTAACAAACTACCCCCCCACCCCACCGAGAACAGACTGATTTCAAGAAAAGACATTTCCTATCCACCTGTCCCCTCACACTGACTGTGCATCCCATGTTCCCTGCCCAGTTCTTTCTAGCCTTGCTCACTGCTCCCCAGAAAGGAAGACTCCTTCCCGCCCGCCCTAGACGCTTACAAACCATACGACCTCCGTGTCCTCGCTTTGGCATCAGTCCTGCTGTGGCTTTAACAGCCCCTCTCTAACTGCAATGATCCTTTTGAATAAAGTCTCCCCTGATCTTAGTTCAGATTTGTTTTCACTGACACACAAAATGTCTGGAACCCCCTGGTCAGTTTGATTCATTTTTCCAGACAAAAAATGAGCAAACAGACCACTGACCAAACTGACTGCAGGACATCATTACCGACTGCAGTATGCACGGTAGTTAACAAGGGGCCAACTTCTTCATAGAGAAGTTTCTAGCAATACCTTACCTTCCCCATGGCTGTACGATAAAGAATTTGGCAGGTCTTGTTGCCAGTTGCTGCGAGGGAACCACCACACCCTCTCAATTTCCCCGGGGGTAGGAATGTCTTTGTTCTTCATGGTGGGCCCCTCTGACCACACCTGAGTTTACACTTAATGAGGCGACTCCTGGTGGGCCTGAGACAGATCAGGATGGAGCTGGCCATGCCAGAAAGACTAACCACAGAGTCCAGTGGGGTCTGTGCTATCAGTCTGACCTCCTGACCTGAGGGGGAGATGGTGAATGAGTTCAGTCACATCACGTGGCAAACTATTCAGTCAGGCTGACGTAATGAAACCACAGTAAAACCTCTGTACACCGAAACTTGGGTCCCCCTTCTGGCTGGAGATACAGAGTGATGTGCTGGGGGGGGTGGTGACACATCCTGAGGACATAGACGAGTTGTTTGGGACCTTCTCAGACCTTGCCCTACGTGTCCCTTCTTTTAGCTGGTCCTGATTCATATTCTTTACATTACAAAGTAATTGTTCAGTATAATGCTTTCCTGAATTCATCAGTTGTTCCAGAGAACAAATGAACCTAAGGGGGTAGTGGGAAACCCTGAGTTTGTAGGCAGTGGTCGGAAGTGTGAGCAGCTTGCGTCTGTGTAGGAAGTGAGGGCAATGACCTTGGGTATTTAGTGTCTGAACTGCCCCCACCCACCTGCCCCCAGAGCAGTTTTAGAGTTCTCTATGCTCCTGCTTGGAAGCAATTTCAATCGTGAAGCTGCAGCTCACAACCACTGATGTGAACAAAAGAGAAAGAGAAGAGAGTGATGTTCCTAACAGACGTTATTGCTCCCCACACACTCATGTATCTGCCTTGCTCTCCCTCTGGAGGAAGGTGAAAGGAGAGCCTGGAACGGGCCAAGCCCCAAGTCCCCCCGCTCCAGTCCTCTGTAACTCTGCACGACTAAGCAACCCACCCTGCACACCTCACATCTGAGTTTGCAATCAGAGCCCCAGGGAGAGAGGAGTGCACGGGTGGTAATTAAGTGCCCACGGACTCCTGCCATTCGTAAGCCAGAATTAACCCCAAGCTTCCTAGAGTTTCAAAACAACATGGTGTCTACAGCATCACCTGAGGGAGTCTGGCCACTTGTCCTCTGAAATACTGCTTAGCAGTCTCTGAAATGATCTAAAGAGTTCCACTTTGCTGATCCGGGATCTGTTTGGAAACAGATGACAAAGAGGGTTTATTAGAAGTGTTTAACATGTACCAGCCCCTATCAGAGATGCCAGGCTTCACACGGAGCTTTCTTAGGTTTGAATGCGCCAGAGCCCCCATTTCCACCTGTTCTTCACATGAAGAACATCTAGACCTGATTTGGGTGAGGGGAAAAAAAGGAATCTCATCTTAAGAAGTGTCATCAGGGGGCGCGCCTGGGTGACTCAGTTGTTAAGTGTTTGCTTTCAGCTCAGGTCATGATCCCAGGGTCCTGGGATCGAGCCCTGAATCTGGCTCCCTGCTTCTCCCTCTCCCACTCCCCCTACTTGTGTTCCCTCTCTCGTTGTCTGTGTTAAATAAATAAATAAAATCTTAAAAAAAAAAAAGTGTCATCAGGGGGAGCTTGCGTGGCCAGTCGTTAAGCGTCCGCCTTCGGCTCAGGTCATAATCCCAGGGTCCTGGGATCGAGGCCCGCATCGGGCTCCCTGCTTGGTGGGAAGCCTGCTTGCTTCTCCCTCTCCCACTCCCCCTGCTTGTGTTCCCTCTCACTGTCTCTCTCTCTCTGTCAAATAAATAAATAAAAATCTTAAAAAAGAAAAAAGTGTCATCAGCGGTGAAATCATCAAGGGGACAGGTTCAAGTGGGGTAAAGACAGAAGTGGCTTTACTAAGCTCCCCCCAGGACACCTACCAGCCACACCAGGCTACCTCTTTTCCAGGGAGCTGGCCCTGTGGGTAATACTGCTCAAGACACTGCAACGGTTTCAGATTCGAGTGCTGCTCCCTGTGCGAACTGCGGTCCTAAATTCCACTTGGACGAGCACTGGACTGACTCTCCTCTGGGCACTGTGGGCCTTTGAGGCCAGTCCTTTGCTTCTACCACGAAGCTTCATGCAGGCCATAGTTTGGAACATCAGGGGAAGTGAATGTGGCCAGCCCACCTGGCCACCAGCCCACCGGGGCCTTCCTGCTTTTGCCCCTCCATGCCATCCACGCCTCCTTTCCCTCCCTTTCACAGTTCATGAGCTGATTTAGAGTAGGGAAGCATGTGTGCCAACAAGGGGCAATCTCCTCTTTACACAGCAGAGCCTTTGCCGTTCTCACAGACTGTATCATCAGCTTGGACACTGTGGCCAAACGGGGATATGGGAAATAGGGAAGTGTCCGGTCTGTCAAAAAGCTCCCTCACCTGGCTGGCACCTAGGCTACTTAGCAGGGGGCCCTGAGCCCTCACAAGCTGCTCCCCCTGGGCCTTAACTGAGCTCGAGTGGCAATTGGTGCCTGGCAATATGTGGTTCCTTTAACATTAAAAAACAAACAAACAAACAAAAAAACCCAGAGCCAAAAAACTAATGAAACTTATTTTGTTAACAGATTAAAGGAGAAATGTAATATAATTGTGAGAAACTCCCTCTCCCTCTCAAATAAATAAAAAAAATCTTAAAAAATAAAAAAAGGGGGGCGCGTGGGTGGTTCAGTTGGTTAAGCGCCGGTTCCTGATTTCGGCTCAGGTCATGGTCTCAGGGTTGGGAGATCAAGCCCCGCGTCGGGCTTCATGCTCAGTGTGGAGTCTGCTTGTCCCTATCCCTCTGTTCCTCCCCCTGCTCGTGCTCTCCTTCTCTCTCTCTGAAATAAATGAATAGATAAAATCTTTTTAAAAAGTTGTGAGAGGGCGTCTGGGTGGCTCAGTTGGTTAAGCGACTGCCTTCGGCTCAGGTCATGATCCTGGAGTCCCTGAATCGAGTCCCGCATCGGGCTCCCTGCTCGGCAGGGAGTCTGCTTCTCCCTCTGACCCTCCCCCCTCTCATGTGCTTGCTCTCTCTCATTCTCTCTGTCAAATAAATAAATAAAATCTTAAAAAAAAAAAATTGTGAGAAAAAACATTCAGAGAAGCATTTGTTAGAGTTCAAGATCCACAGAATGATTTAAAACCTTTTAGCAAATGAGGACGAGGAAAGACAGTATTTACGTCCAAAAAGGGTGTCTATAAAAACCTGCAGCAAATTCATGTCCTTAAAATCAAGAATAAGATAAGGGCACTGCTTTTATCCAATGTTACACAGAAGGTTCTGGCCAGTAAGACAAGAAATAAAAGGAGTAAGTCATTATTTGCTGATGTTTGTGACATTGTCAGTTCTAGCCAGGATAGCAAGTCAAGAAAAAAATAAATTAATTAAAGGAATGGAGGGTTGGAAAGGAAATACTATTTGCAAAAGATCGTTTACATTGAAAAAAAATGCAAAAGGATTTCCAGATAAATTAGGATAATAATAAGAGTGAACAAGGTTGCTGGATACAAACATTAACTGCAACAGGGAAAAACAAATAACTGTAACAGCAGTGACCAGAAAATGAAGTAAAAAGAAATTCCTTAAAATAGCATCGTGGTAGCTAACCTCCAAGATGGTGATTATTTTTTAAAGATCTATTTATTTATTTGAGAGAGAGGGGGAGAGAGTACGCACGGACGTGCATACACACACAACCCAACACAGGGCTCAATTCCAGGACCCTGAGACCACGACCTGAGCTGAAATCGAGTCAGCTACTCAACCAACTGAGCCACCCAGGTGCCCCATGGCAATTTTTTTAAATTGATGTAGAGTTGACTTACAATATTATATTAATTTCAGGTGTATAACGTAGTGATTTGACAATTACATGTTAGGAAATGCTCATCACAGTAAGCATAGTTACCTTCTGTCACCACACGAAGTTATTACAGTATTATTGACTGTACCCCCATGCTGTACTCTTCATCCCCATGACTTATTTATTTTATAACTGGAAGTCTGTCCTTTTTTTTTTTTTTAACATTTTATTTATTTATTTGAGAGAGAGAGAGAAAGTACAAGTTGGGGGAGGGGCAGAGGGAGAAGCAGGCTCCCAGAGGAGCAGGGAGCCTGATGTGGGGCTCGATCCCAGGACCCTGAGATCATGACCTGAGCCGAAGACAGAAGCTTAACCAACCGAGCCACCCAGGTACCCCTGGAAGTCTGTACTTCTTAATCCTTTTCATCTTTTCTCACCCATCCCCTCCCTTCCCTCCCCTCTGGCAACCACCAGTTTGTTCTCGTATTTCTGAGTCTGTTTCATCATTTTAGGAGACGGGACCACACATCTTATTGTTCAGGAAGCCTAGACAGTCTTACAGACTCAACATTTCCATTGCCCACCTCACCCACCCAGAATCAGCAAAATAAATCAGCAAAAATAAACTAGTGTCTTGCCCAGATGCTCGCGCTTCCCCTTGAAACACTGAGAGGTGACCCCTGAAACTTTTGCTACAGCCCAGGGGCCACTGATGTGCAACTATGCATCTGGCTTTATTTTTACAGAGCATTAATGAAGCATCCACCAAAACAAGAAACCTTAGCAATCAACCGTGCCCATCTGGAGCTGGAGATGGCTCCACATCAAGGTTTGTTAAAGAAACACATCACTTAAACCGCACTGGAAGGAGCCCTAAAGGATTCGATTTACCACCAACATTGTAGAGAAATGTCAAGGCCTCCAGGGTCACTGTAAGAAGCCATCAGTGTGAGCTTAACAGCTTCTTGAGACCAGTTCTGTAAATGGTTCCAACATTCTTCTCTCTGGAGGAACAAACAGCCCTTTCTCTTATCAATGTTTTTAGCCTAAGTCAATCGCCTTGTGAGTAATGCTAAGGTATCATACCTATAAAGACAGAAGGGGGATGCTGGGAACCTCTCCTCTGCGGCAAAAAGAGCTCCCTCCAGAGAGATAAGACCTTTTTGAAGATTTATTCAACAGCAGAACAGAGTGACCATACTAGTAATTCCTCCGTCAACAAGACCTACTCACTAGTAACCACTCAGGTCATCTATGGAGCACAACAATCATCCACAGCCATCCTGGCAGCCGCCTCTCTCCAAGGAGCCCGGGTTCCTTTCAGCAGCAAGGATTACACTCTTGGATACTAGGTTCTTCCTGGTGAGTTGGTTAACATTGCTGGTTGGTGCATCAAAGAGCCAGGAAAGCTATACACACATGTATAATCTCTTAGAGATTACACATTTACATTGTTTTTTTTTTTTTTTTTTCAAGATTTCATTTATTTGAGAGAGAGAGGAGAGGACATAGAGGGAGACTAAGAGGGAGAAGGAGACCCCTGCTGAGCAGGGAGCCCAACACGGGGCTCGATCCCAGTACCCTGGGATCATGACCTGAGTGGAAGGCAGATGCTTAACCGACTGAGTCACAGAGGCGCCCCTAATTGGTATTCTTAATCTGGCCCTATCTCCTATCTTTAACAAACTCAGATGCACTTAGGTGTCTTTTTTTTTTTTTTTAATCCCTCATCCTTTTCTTTTATAATCCAATGAGGCATGTAATGATCTCTCCGGGATGCTCTGGGATGGGAAGAGAATTTGACACTTAAGGGAAAAGAGTAAAATGAAGCTTCTTGAAAATGAGGGTCCTTTACCTGGTGTCTGTTATTATTGCATTGTGTGTAAAAGAACACAAGGACTTAAATGAAATATTTTCTTTTCCTATTGCATTAGTATATTAAATGTCTCTAATGTTGCAGTCCACATTCATATTCCCCACAGTTCTAAAGAAGGTGGTCCCAGGATGCCAGCACGAGGGAATGAGCAATGAGAAACCCTGTGAGTCCTTAGAACAGAAGAAACTGACTCTTCCACACAGAGTATGACGCTTCTCTGGACAAGCGAAGGGGAACTCAATCTTGACAAGGTGTTTGCTGCAAGCCTGCACCACATTTGCCGGCACTTCTACCACATTCACGGGTGAAACACACTTTTAGTTCCCCTTGCTCTACAGGTGGGGAAACGGAGGCTCAGAGAGGTAATGTGCCCAAGGTCACACCCTGGGGAGAAAGCGAACTAGGAATTAAATATGTCTCCTGAACCGTAAAGCTTCTGCTCTTTCCCCCCTCCACTTCCTCCCTGTACGGAGTCTGCCTTCTAAACGGAGAGACATCTACAACCTGTCAGAGACCTCAGATCATCTACTCCAACATCCTCATTTGACAGAGACGCACGCGTGCGCGGAGGCCTGGAGAGCAACTGGGCCGTCCAAAGTCATGTGGATAACTGGAGACAGAGCGAGTGTGGGAACGTGAGGTGCTCCCAGTCAACAGAGAGCACCAACGTATTGGGACAAGCCGGGAGAACAGCACTACAGGAATTTGAAAAGAGGATGGTAATTGTGAGCCAGAAGGCAGGGGTAGATGAGCTGAGCTCTGAAGGTAAAAGAGGGCGTGGATTCCTAGGGAAGAGCACTGGTACCCGAGCAAAGAGCAAAGCACAAACCGCAGCCACAGCCGGGTGGGTGGGGCTGCTGCCGGCCTGTGCACAGAGCTGGAACTCTGCAGGAAATGTGGTCCCTGTGAAGGTACGACCCGCCCTGCCCACACACCCTGGTCTGTGGCTAACAGCTAGTCCCCTGAGAGATGTAAACAGTGGCCCGAAGCCTGGAGACGCTTGGGGAGAAACTGACCCAAAATCTCCACCCCTAATTTTGTCACTGTCACTCACTCTGCAGACTAGGCCATTTCAACCCTGGTTAGTGGCTGCGAAGAACAAAACTTTCTCTTTTACAGTCTAAAGAATCATGGAACACTACATCAAAAACTAATGATGTACTGTATGGTGACTAACATAACATAATAATAAAAAAATACACAAAAAATAAAAGTCTAAAGAGATGTAAGTTGTTACTGCTGTCTGTGTTGGGGCCGGCAAATAAGCATATCAAAAAGAAACAAATCCACCTGTAAACTTTAATTACAACTTTTTATGAGGAAATAGTAAAGAGATGGAAAAACAACTCAGAGTGAAAAGAACTACAGTTGACCTTTGAATGACATGGCTTTGAATTGCACAGGGTCCACTTACACAGGATTTTTTCCAATAAATACAGTATTGTAAGTGTACTTTCCTTATAATTTTTTAAAGATTTTATTTATTTGAGAGAGAGAGTACAAGCAGGGGGGAGGGCAGAGGGAGAGGGAGAAGCAGACTCCCTGCTGAGTAGGGAACCAGATGCGGGGGCTTGATGCCAGGACTCTGGGATCATGAACTGGGCCGAAGGCAGACCCTTAACCGACTGAGCCACCCAGACACCCTCCTTGTAATTTTTTAAATAACACTTTCTTTTCTCTAGTTTACTTTATGGTGAGAATATAGTATATAAGGGGGTGTCTGTGTGGCTCAGTCAATTAAGTGTCTGACTCTTGATTTCTTCTCAGGTCATGATCTCAGGGTTGTGCGATGGAGCCCCACAATGGGCTCCACGCTGGGTGTGGAGCCTGCTTAAGATGCTCTCTCCCTCTCCCTCTGTCCCTCCCTGCAACTCATGCACATGTGTGCACTCTCTCAAAAAAAAAAAAAAATGGTATACAATATATACAGAATATGAAATACATGTTAATCAACTGTTTATGCTATCAGTAAGGCTTCTAGTCATGAACAGGCTGTTAGTGGTTAAGGTTTTGAGAAATCAAAAGTTATACATGGATTTTCAAACGCAAGGGGTATCAGCGCCCCTAAACCTTCCACTGTTCAAGGGTTAACTGTACCTGTAAATGGTAGGATCCTATAAAAGTCACTCAGGGGCAGCTCACTGACCCGAGATGTAAATGCCTTTGGTGGAGAGGCCATTCCCCTGCAGCCCCTCCCACCCTCAGGCTATTAAAGACTACTGGGAGGGAAAAGCAGAGTGGGATCATCTGAACATTTAGAAAAAGAAAAACCAGTAAGGCGGATGCATGAATTTCAAATACAAAGGGAGTCCCATGTCCAGCAGACCTCATGCTCTACATTTCAGTAAAAGCCAATTTGAAGATAAAAAATCCTGCTTTCATGGTGCCCTTTTTGCCAGTCCAATCACTGTGGAGCTTCACAAATGATTCTTGGGTTCCAAGCTTCACCTAATGAAACCACGATCCCTAGTGGTAAAGCCCAAGAAAGTGTTCTTTTCAAAATCTTCCAGGGGGAAGAACAGTCTTTCCAAAAAAATGGCAGCAGGACAACTGGATATCCCCGTGCAAAAGAATGAAGTTGGACCCCTTCCTCACACCTTAAAGAAAAGTTAACTCAAAATGGGTCAAAGTCATAAACCTAAGAGCTAAAACTATAAAACCATGAGAAGAAAATAGAGCAAATCTTTGTGACGTTGAATCAGGCAATGGTTTCTTACCTGTGACACTAAAAGCACAAACCATCAAAGGAAAAAAGATAAAACGGACTGACTTCATCAAAATTTAAAACTTCTGTGCTTTAAAGGACCCTTTCAAAAAGTGAAAAGACAACCCAGAGAACTGCAGAAAATATGTTCAAATATGTCTGTGATAAAAGACTAGCATCCAGATTATATAAAGAAATATTTCAATTCGGGCGCCTGGGTGGCTCAGTTGGTTAAGCGACTGCCTTCGGCTCAGGTAATGATCCTGGAGTCCCCGGATCGAGTCCCACATCGGGCTCCCTGCTCAGCAGGGGGTCTGCTTCTCCCTCTGCCCTCTTCCCTCTCGTGCTCTCTGTCTCTCATTCTCTCTCTCTCAAATAAATAAATAAAATCTTAAAAAAAAATTTTTTTAATTCAACAATAAAAAGATAAATAAACCAAGTTTAAAAACGGGCAAAGGGATCAGAATAGATATTTCTCCGAAGAAGATATACAAATGGCTAATAAGGATATGAAAAAAACGCTCAACATCAAAAGAAGCATGAACACTTATTAGGGAAAGGCACATCAAAATCACAATGAGATAGCACATCACACCCACTAGGATGGCTACAATAAAAAAGACAGACAATAATGAGTGTGGTAAAGGAGGTAGGATAATTGAGACTCATACATTGCTGGTAGGAGTTTAAAATGGTGCAGGTGCTGTGGCAAACAGTTTGGCAATTCCTCAAAAAAGAAAAAAACCCCAGGGTTATCATAGGACCCAGCAATTCCACGCCAAGGTATACCCAAGAGAATTGAAAACGTATGTCCACCTAAAAGCTCATTATATAAAAATTCGCAGCAGCACCAGTTCTAATAGCACGAAAGTGAAATAACCCAAATGTCCATCGATGGAAGAATGGATAAACAAAAAGCAGTAGTCAGATCCACACAATGGTATACAGGAATGAAGGACTGATACGTGTTACAACAGGGATGAGCCTTGAAAACCTTATGCTAAGGGGCGCCTGGGTGGCTTAGTCGTTAAGCGTCTGCCTTTGGCTCCGGTCATGATCCCAGGGTCCTGGGATCAAGCCTCGCGTTGGGCTCCCTGCTCAGTGGGGAGCCTGCTTCTCCCTCTCCCACTCCCCCTGCTTGTGTTCCCTCTCTCGCGGTCTCTGTCAAAATGAATAAATAAAATCTTTAAAAAAAAAAAAAAGAAAAGAAAAAGAAAACCTTATGCTAAGTAAAATAAGCCACATACTATATGATTTCATGTAGTGAAATGTCTAGAATGGACAAATCCACAGAGACAGAAAGCCGATTCATGGATGTCAGGGGCTGGAGTAGGGCCTGGGGAATGACTGCTAACAGGTTCAAGGTTTCTTTCTGGGGTCATGAAGATGTTCTGGAATTAGATAGTGGTAAACAGTGCCTGCACAACCACCATCTCCTTCTGCCCCAATATGGCTGTACCTGGCCTGAAGGCACCTGATTGCTTTCTTCGTTGTTCCCTGCGGAAAACCATTGGCAGTGACATCCAGTGGCTGCTCAGGAACTGCGCTCCAGCTGATGGCTACGAAAAGACAAGATTCTGGAGTTAAAACTGTTCAGTTTCCTGTGAACGTCAGAAGTGTTTTCACAAAAATATTTCCCTCTCTCTCCAGATCAGAGTCAATGGCTGCCACTCTGATGCTTGGCCTCCAGAATCTAGTAATATAAAGAGGTTCATCATTCATCATCTTCATTAGAAGACCTAATAACCACTAAGCCCCTATTCTATGCTGGGCACACAGTCAATGCATGAAACAGGATTTCTCATTTAATCCTCATAACAATCCTGATAAGAAAATGACATATTTTTTTCATCATAGGCATACTCTTATAATCCTCATCTCCTCTTTCACCCCTCCCACCCGATAACATCAGTTTGTTCTCTAGAGTTAAAGGGTCTGTTTCTTGGGGCACCTGGGTGGTTCACTTAGTTAAGCATCTGCCTTTGGCTCAGGTCATGATCCCTGGGGCCTGGGATCGAGTCCCACATTGGGCTCCCTCCTTGGTGGAGAGTCTGCTTCTCCCTCTGCACCTCCCCCTGCTTGTGCATGCTCTGTCTTATGAATCTAAAAAAAAAAAAAGTCTGTTTCTTGGTTTGTCTTTTTTCCCTTTGCTAGTTGTTCTGTTTACTAAATTCTACATATGAGTGAGATAATATGGTGTGTCTTTCTCTGACTTATTTTGCTTAGCATAATACACTCTAGCTGCATCCACATTGTTCCAAATGGCAAGATTTCATTTTCTTCTATGGCTGAGCAAGAGTCCACTGTGTATATACACCACATCTTCTTTATCCATTCATCAGTCGATGCAAACTTGGGCTGCTTTCATAGCTTGGCTATTGTAAATAATGCTGCAATAAACATAGGAGTGCAAGTATTCCTCTGAGTTAGTGTTTTGTACTTTTAAGGTAAATACCCTGTAGTGCAATTACTGGCATAGGTCAGTTTTAATTTTTTGAAGAACCTCCAAACTGTTTTCCACAGTGGATGCACCGGTTTGCATTCCCACCAACAACAGTACAAGGAGGTTCCTTTTTCTCCACATCCTTGCCAACACTTGTTTCTTGTGTTGATTTTAGCCACTGTGACAGGTGTGAGGTGATATCTCACTGTAGTTTTTATTTCCATTTCCCCAATGATGAGTGATGTTGATCATCTTCTCATGTGTCTGTTGGCCATCTGGATGTCTTCTTTGAGGAAATGTCTGTTCATGCCTTCTGCCCATTTTATTAATTGGACTAAATGTTTAAGAAATGATATTCTTTTTTTTTTTTTAAAGATTTTATTTATTTATTCATTAGAGACAGAGAGAGAGAGGCAGAGGGAGAAGCAGGCTCCCAAAGAGCAGGGAGCCCGATGCAGGACTCGATCCCAGGACCCTGAGATCATGACCTGAGCCGAAGGCAGACGCCCAACCATCTGAGCCACGCAGGCGCCCAAGAAATGATATTCTTATCTGAAGACGAAGAACCTCAGGCTAAGGCAGGATGAGAAAGTTGCTCGAGCATGAACCTGCCTCAGGGTGGTCAAGCCTACACTACTGATGACTCAGGGAACAAGCTGCCTTCCTGGGGCTGGATGCAACCCCTCCCAGGCCACTTCACAGTCTGGGGAAAAGTTACTCCAGGGCAAGCAGAGCGCGGATACCTTACCTGCACCACAAGGAACAAGTCGGCCCGGGCCGTCAGCCCTTTTGGCCTGCACTGCGCAGCGGCTCTGTTCAAACAGGAAACCTGACTGCTCTATTTTCACTTCTTGAACTCCAAAGCCTCTGGGTAGCGCTGAGACATTCCGACACCTAAATGTGAGGGAAAATGCACTCAGTTTGGGCATGCTCCTCGAGGAAGACAGAGTCTAGGCCCGTGGACCCCTTCACCACCGCTGAGTCTCGGTGAGAGGGTGTGACAGAAGAGAATCGAGATCATGTGAGCCTTACAGCCGGAGGAAGATCCCTTCCTATCTCTCTGAAGTGAAAACGGTGAGCTGAGTCACCACCTCTCAGTGACTTCAGGGACTCTAAACTCCAGTCCTGGTACTGGCTTTGAAAGATTTCAAACCCTTAAACAGAAATATTAACTTGTTGGCATCTGCTTCCTAAGGAATCCTCCAAACACACCAGAAACCAAAACTCTCCTATAATATAAAAGCTTCGTTTTTCCCTCTTGGGTCTTTCATACCATCTAGAGGCCAACATTGACACTGCTCTGGAACCAAGTGGACAGCAGCTCTAAAGCCTCAGAATAGGGAAAGCATGGAAAACACAGAAAATGTCTTGGGCATAGGGGTGCTTTCGTTGAAAACATCTTATTGGGAAATAGTGGATACCATAGAATTCATCCATTTTAAATGTATAATTCAAGGGTTCTTTTTTTTTTTTTTTTTACTATATTCACAGAATTGTGCCACTGTCACCACAATCTAAGTTTATCACCTTTCACCCCTGATAAGAAACCCTGCACCTATCAGCAGTCACTCCCCACGCCCTTCTCCAGCACCCACCAATCTACTTCTGGATTTGCCCATTTTGGACATTTCACACCGTGAAATCATACGCTATGCCGCTCCTGCCACTTAGCACAGAGCTTTCAAGGCTCATCCATGTCGCAGCTTGAGCCAGCCTTTGCTCCTTTTTGGGGCTGATAACCCAGTGTAACAGTCTATCACCTTTCATTTATCCATTCACCAGCTGATGCACATTTGGACTGTTTCACTTTGTGGCTATTGTGACTGGTACTGCTATGAACATTCACATACAAGTTTTTATGTGGATGCATGTTTTCATTTCTCCTGGGTACACCCCCCCTGGAGTGGAATTAGTGAGTGTGCTCCCCGGACTCGGCCTTGGGAGCAGTGCATCCGACATGAGAGGCCTCCCCTGGCCATGGCCTCACTCTGCCCTCATTTACCATAGCCTTAACTGGGCTTGGCTGCCCTTCCTTAGGAAGACCACATTTGAGTGATCATCCTTTGTCTTTAATCTTTCAAAGACACTGACGTTGATGGTTTTTAAAAATTACAGTAGTGATATATATGTACATTGCACAAAAATTAAAAAACAGAGTAACCACAAAGAAGAAAAAAAACCCAAAATATCACAACTCAGAGATAATCATACCAATATCTTGGTGTATATCCTCCCACAATTTTTTTTCTATGTGCATATATACTTTAAGACCAACACGAACTCATCATAATCTTTTAACTTGCTCTTTAAAAATTATGAGCATCTTTCCAGGTCAAACATTCGTCAATATTAGTTTTAACAAAAATCACCTAAGCTACTGCTGGTCATTTCACTGGTTTTCTTTTCTTTCTTAAACATGACTACACACAAAGCTAAACATTTGAGCGCTTTCTTATTTCCTTAGGACAAATTCCTAGCAATGGAACCGCTGGATCAAAACGTATAGATGTTTTAAAGGCTCTTTGGACATCCTCTCAGACTGCTTCGACCTCCCTCCCTGCTCACCTCCCGGTCAGAGCTCTCTGCATGGCCTCCTGGCTGTATGGGCACCTCCCAATCACCACGGCTGACAGGTAGACGGGCTCTTCTAGAAGGTGCATCAACAGTGCCCCCTGGCATCCGAGGACGTTCCACCGGGCCAGCTTGTCACTGCAGGACAGGGAGCAAGTCCGGTCTCCCCGGCCGGGCTTCACTCGGAGCAGCCCCACCTGGTGATACGCAGCACCAGGCTTCCCCGAGTCTCCAGCTTCTCCCGGCACACATTTGGCTCCGGTTCTATAAACGTCCACTACTTTGGCACCACTGGGGGCCATTCCGGTGACAGTGGCCAGTTCCTCTGCAGTAAGATGAGAGCCACTGACACTTGGTGGGACTTGGCCACTTTCCTGATGGCCAAAACTCTGATGGTGGGCCACAATGTCAGGAATCCCAGGCTCAGGCCTCATCTTTTTGGTCACAGGACTACCCAAGTCTTCACATTTCTTTTTATCTTCAGGATCTTCCAGGTCACTACTGGCTTCTACTAATGGGTTATTGGCCCAATCTCTATGGATAGGACAGCAGGGCTGATCTTCAAACTCAAGCATTGGAATGATGGAGGCATCCCCACCTGCAGGAGAAGGAACCCCTTAAAAACCAGTGGTTCTTAAAGTGAGGCCCCCGGATCAGCCACATCAACATCCCTCAGGAACTTGTTAGAAATGCAAATTCTTGGAACTCACAGTGGACCTGCTGAGTCTGAACTCTGGAGGTGGTCTGCAGCAGTGTGTATTTTAATAAGCTCTCCAGGTCATTCTGATGACAGGGGAACCACTGTCTGAAACAAAGTTTAATTCTATTTTCTTAGCTGACCTGAGATGAATTAGGAACACTTGCCCAAATCTCCTGAGTAAGAATCCTTTGTGGCTCTATCCTACCTAGACCCAGTGAGTTAGAAACTCTGCGGTGGGGAGGATCTGGAAAGCAGAATACTTTAACAAAGATCCCAGGTAGTTCTCATCACAGGAATTTTTGGAAACACTAGCTTAGAACAGGGTTTGTCAACGTTCCTAGTACTGACATTTTGGGCCAGATGATTCTTTGCTTGGGGGCTATCCTTTACATCAAAGGATGGTTAGCAGCTCCTCGGTCTCTACCTACTAGGTACCAATAGCACCTCCCAGTCTGACCATCAAAAATGTCTCCAGGGGCGCCTGAGTGGCTCAGTTGTTAAGCGTCTGCCTTCGGCTCAAGTCATGATCCCAGGGTCCTGGGATCGAGCCCCGCATCAGGCTCCCTGCTCCGCGGGAGGCCTGCTTCTCCCTCTCCCTCTCCCCCTGCTTGTGTTCCCTCTCTCGCTGTATGTCTCTCTCTGTCAAATAAATAAATAAAATCTTAAAAAAAAAAAAAAAGTCTCCAGATGTTGCTAAATGTCCCGAGAAGCAAAACTGTCCTGAGTTGAGAACCCTTGGTTTACGATGAGCACAGTTTCCCAAGTGCATTTTGTGGAATGTTATCCCGTGAGATGCTTTGGAAAACTAAAGTGGGAGGTTGATTTCATGGTTAAATATTTTGGCAAAAATGTTCCCAATTTCCCCATCTTGGAGATTTATGTGCATATCTTCACAGTAAAGACTCTGCAGTGAATTATACAAGTGGTGTTTCCCTGTGCTGGGTCAGAGAATTCTGACCTAACTCTGTGCTTAAACAGAATAACAGAAAACCAGAGGTTAGTAAAAAGCATAGCTTCCCCTTGAGAAAGGAGCTACTTCTTCAAACACTAACCTAGTGTGTTGCTTTTCTAAAGTGTGTAAATAATACATCTGTAGTCTTTTATAACCTAAGAGTGGGAAAGGCAAGAGATGTAGAAGTGGGACTGTTGCCAGAAAGGCTGGCTGGTGGAGTTCCAGAGACCTCACAAGGTGACAGTGACTTTGGAGAACTGACTGGGGCCCACCTCCCACTCTGAAGGCTCGGAGATTTGATCCAGACAGATGCCTAAACTCTAGATGCTGACTCATGCTAATAAAACTCACAAGTAAGAGTCTGAAGCAGCTAACCTAGGCACCAAATTATCAATTAGTAATGAGGACTAAAGGCAAAGGGAGATGGACAGTCACGTTCTCCATGTAATGTCCTTTCCTCCTGCAGACAAACCATGCATGGGCATCACAGTTCAAAAGATGACCCATTCGCCCAGGGCAGTTAGGTCAGTAGTTCTAGATTTTGATTTCACAGACCAGTAAAATTTCCAGATTTTATGATCAACAGAGGGGGTGATCAATTTTGTATTCCATCAAGCAAGATCTTTAAAAATCCTAATTACCACTATTTTTTTTTCCTAATTGCCACTATTTAAAATAAAAAGATAAAAATCTCGTAACCTTTCCATGGAAAGAAATTAGCTTTTTGAAAAACTCACTATAGTCCTGATTTTTCCCATTTGGCTATGGACCAACCTGTAGACCAGATTTATGTGGTCTAATTAGTTGGTCAGGCTAGCTGTGATCCACAGATCTCTCTCTCCACAAGCTACACCCGCCATTGGATCAGCCAAGCCCTGGCTATTCAAAGTGTGGTCCACAGGCCAACACCACTGACATCATGGGGACTTGGTCAGAAATGCAGAATCTGGGGCGCCTGGGTGGCTCAGTCGTTGGGCGTCTGCCTTCGGCTCAGGTCATGATCCCAGGGTCCTGGGATCAAGCCCCGCGTCGGGCTCCCTGCTCTGCGGGAGGCCTGCTTCTCCCTCTCCTGCTTCTCCCTCTCCCACTCCCCCTGCTTGTGTTCCCTCTCTCGCTGTCTCTGTCAAATAAATAACTAAAATCTTTAAAAAAAAAAAAAAAAAAAAAGAAATGCAGAATCTTAGGCTTCATCCCAGACCTAATGAATTTGAATCCACATTTTATTAAGATCTGTGGGTGATTCATAGGCATATTATAGTTTGAGAAGCACCGAGTTAGGAAACATCCTTTTTTGGACCAGGGTATCCGCTGCTCATAAGAAAGCACGGATGAGTCCTGCCTATCTCTGTATATAATTTTTCTGGCCTTTGACTCAACCAATTCTTTTCTGATAGACTCATTCTTCCTTAAGCTGCATTATATTTCTGATTTGAACTATGATCAAGTCTTGACAGCTCTTCTGTCTCCTCGGAGCCATTACCTATATCTGCTCTAATTGCATGTATTAGTTTTAAAGTTTAATACTTACAGGACAATATTATATCCTTACTTCAAAGGTTTTAGGGTAAGGAAATTTTACTACCCCTCCTAAGCTGCTATCTAAAAGGAGTAGAAATTATTCTCCATTTTCAAGACAAATAAATATACAGTGGTCACCCCTAGGCTATGTCTGGTCCTCCTGCCTGATGCAATCACAGCACCTGAACATCCCCTTATAATTCATCAAAATTTAACTGAACTGATCATGACTAGATCCACATTCCAGAAAGGATTCTATGAGGCTACGCAAGGGACCAGTCTTACTCACTGCCATATACCCAATGTCATACTGTAACTGACAAGTAGTAGAAAATATCTGTTGAATGAATGAACAGAATGAGTTTCAGGATAAATCGCTATAGAACTCAGGGCTTTGGACTTCTAAGCCCAACTGATGGTTTCAGACCTTGTGGGGTTTCAGCTTGAAGCTTCCCAATCCTAACTGGGAATCGAGAACTGCAATGTTGCTCCTTGATGGAGAAGTGATCAGGCACCATGGCCTGTTCAGAAAAAGGCACTGTCCACTCTTTGCAGCTACACTGCAGCCAGAAGAGCTTTTTTGAGAAATGTATCTATGGATAAGAGGACATAAGTAAACAGACAACGTAACATTAATCCAAAGGCTTGACTATACTTACAGGGCGTATGGCTGGAGAAAAACACAAACAAGAGGTCTGGTCTGAGTTTCCACAGCCCTCTCTGAGTTCCGGGGACAAAGATGCTATCCTCCTTCAGGGCGGCCGCCAAGTGGAGCTGATGGAGAAGGTACCTAATGGGGCACAAGGTGTTATCAGAATGAACAGCCAATCTCTGCGGTGAAGGGAAACACTCTGGCTGGTTGATGACTTTCTAAGAAAGAGTTACTGAGACTGATGGGACTGGCAGTGATTTGGAATTACGAGAATGATCTAGACCAGTGATTCTCGGAGTGTGGCCTTTGAACCAGCATCATCTGAAATTTGTTAGAAACGCAACTTCTCAGGTCCCACCCCCGACCTGCTGAATCAGAATCTCTGGCGGAGGGCCCAGCAATCTGGTTTTTCATAAATGTAGATAATTCTGATGCAAATCAAGCACGAGAACCACGGTCTAGACCAGGGCTATTCAAAGTGTAGTTCACAGACCCACATCATCAATGTTACTTGAGAGTTTATTAGAAATGCAAATTCTGGGGCTCCCCATGGCAGGCTAAGTCACATTCTCTGGGGATGTGCCTTTACCTTTGGAAACTCCTCCTGGCTATGACCTCAGCATGGCTATCATTGAGGATGTCTCCTATGGCAAAGACAGGACACTAGTGAAGACATAAAGAACCTGGAGAGGCCCTGTTTCCTAGCAGTAGAACGCAGCGGTTTCCCCCGGCGGCCAAGACGGCCATGTAGCTCCTGGAGGACTGTCAGGAAGTACTGCAATCGCTGATGGCAATGCAGGGGTTCCTCAACTCAGCACTACTGACATTTTGGGTTAGAAAATTCTTTGTTGTGAGGCTCTGTCCTGTGGAAGGTAGGATGTTTAGTAGCATTCCTGGCCTCTACCACCAGAGGCAGGAAGTATAGTATCGCCCTCCCCTGAGTTGTGGCAACCAAAAATGTCTCCAGCCACTGCCAAATGTCCTCTGGGGGACAAAAATCTCCCCATAGCTGGGAACGACTGCTTTATAGGAAAATAGCTGGAGGAAAGGGATCCAAGTCTTTAGTACCCTGATATCACACTTGAGCATGGGGTGATACAATTCCATCAAACTCAATCCACAGTGGTCCTGGCACACAGAAGGCAAGGCTGGGAAAATGGGGAAAGCAAACTTGGGAAGCAATCTGCTAACTGGATGCAGGAGGTGAAGATGCCAGATCTCTAAGGGATTTCCAGTCTTTTTGGTGTCCAAATCTCCATGTAATTCGAGATTGCTCTTGGGGGGCCCTGGACCTAATGGGGAGCAGCTAAGTCCAGGGAACTTTTGTTTTGCGCATGAAAATACTGGCCAACTTCCAATCTATGCAGAAAGCATGTTCCTGGTGGCCTTTGCCTCCATTGTGTATTCCGATTCTTAAAATGAGTACTGTCCTTCCCAATGGAGTGACAGGGGGAATGGAAAGGTCAGCCACCTCAGTGATGTGGCCCCCCCCTTTTTAAAAAATATTTTATTTATTTATTTGACAGAGAGAGACACAGCAAGAGAGGGAACACAAGCAGGGGGAGGGGCAGAGGGAGAAGCAGGCCCCCCACGGAGCAGGGAGCCCGATGTGGGGCTCGATCCCAGGACCCTGGGATCATGACCTGAGCTGAAGGCAGACGCCCAACCGACTGAGCCACCCAGGCGCCCCTGATGTGGCCCCTTTAACAGGAAGAGAGGAAAGGACAAAATGCAGGGTGGTTGCCAAAGCTCCCTAGACAGGCGTTGTTTAAATCCTACCCAGGCTTACCGCTCTTCCTCATTTTGGACTGGCCTATGCATTTCGTTCCTGTTCCCATTGAGACAACTTCCTTTGTCACTGAGAGGAAAAGAACGAATCATTAGGAGAGCTCTTATAAAATGTCAAATGTGGTTCGAGCACCGCCAGCTCCCACTGCAAGTACTGCCCACCACTGCAGCTGACACCAGCCAGGACTGTCCCTACCCGGCCATGAACAGTTCCCCTACCATCTCTGACAGGGAGAGGGAGCGTTGGGAGGTGAAAAGGCCTCACCTTGTGTTGGTTTGTTAGTGCCGCCGCAGGCCTGGTCAGCTGCAGGTTTTATCTTCACCACGGCTGCTAGTAATGTCCACTCACGGTTGGGCTCAGGCTTCCCCTGCTTGGGCAGCCTGGTCCTATAGTGCTCATAACACAGCTGGGCAATCTCATCTGCGGTCCACATGGTCTGAGTTAGTGCTGAGCCTGATCAAAAACCACAGCCATTGGAAGTACAGAAAAGAGAACCAACGCAAGATGCTACAACTCTTGCCCAGGTGCTTCAACAAGCTTTCAGGGTAGCCGGACTGCATTCATACAGAGGTTTTTCTACCTGGAATTGTAATGGTCATTTTCTTCTACTACTTCCCTGTCCCCTCTCCCCCCTTTTTAATTTTTAATTTTTTTAATTTTTTTATTTTTTAAAGATTTTATTTATTTATTTGACAGAGAAAGACACAGCGAGAGAGGGAACACAAACGGGGAGTGGGAGAGGGAGAAGCAGACTCCCTGCCGAGCAGAGAGCCCGATGCGGGACTCGATCCAGGGACTCCAGGATCATGACCTGAGCCGAAGGCAGTCGCTTAACCAACTGAGCCACCCAGGTGCCCATCTCCCCCCTTTTTTAAAGTAGGCTCCATACCCAGCGTGGAGCCCCACGCGGGGCCTGAACTTGTGACGCTGAGATCAAGACCTGAGCTGAGATCAAGAGTTGGAGGCTTAACCCACAGAGCCACCCAAGCGCCCCTCCCCTTTTCATTTTTAAGGAAAGATCAAGTAAGTCCCAGATTCCACCAACCCCAATAGACACCCTATTTCTTAAAGCTGTTTCTTTTTAAATGTTGGACATCTGACATGTATCTAATGAATCTGAACCTACTACAAAAATAAAAGCGCATGAGAGGGAAATATCCTTGCTACTCCAATTTTCATTTGGAAGTAGCACGTCAGGTACTGCAGACCTCAGCTGCCTTTGGGCAGACTCTAACCATATATGGTTTATCTTTCTGGGCAGATGGTCTTCTTTTCCATCCTCTTTTTCAGACCTTTTATTTTTCTCTTCTCCGACTTTCTCCCAGAAGACTGACTCTTTATCTCCCTCTAATAAATCTCCACTGATGACCCCCATCAAGAAAACGCTTTAATTTCTCCTATAACGTTTTATGAGGCAGGTGGGAGAAGTGACAGCCCAGAGCTTTCTCATCAGTCGAGCGTTCTCCTCACAGGATTTTGCGCTGGAGTTACCCTTTCTGCGTTATAATCCTGACTTTGCTACCAATTGGGTAGATTACCTAACCTCTCTCTTCCTGTTTCTTTATCTGTTAAAATAGGGTAACAGTAGTATTTAATCTATGGGTTATTGTGAGGACTAAGTAATATACATAAAAAGCAACTGCTACAACGTTAAGCACTGTTACTGTCAACCATGATTAATATTCCAAAAAAAGGAACATTTCACGTTCCTGATTGTCTTGAGCTCCTTGGGGAGCAAGGGAGCTGCAACGGCAATGTAAAGCCATGAATAAAAAACCATTAAGCAGACCAGACCTGAGAGGCTACTTCGCTAGGAAACTCTTCTATTCTTGTCTCTGCTCACTCAATGATTTCACTTGGACTCAAATGTATGAAAAGCTTCTTAGCAGAATGAGATCATATGGTGATGGATACAGCTCAGCATTTTTTGTTGTTTTTGTTTTAAAAAAGGCTTTACTGAGTCCCAATGCATGCAGCTTCTGAAAACTGCTATTTCTACAATGAGCCCCCAGCATTGAGTTAAATTAAACAAGGAGGCCATTAGATTGATGCGGCTCTAATGTTATGGTGGCCTATGTAAGCAAACCATGATCTAAGTCTGTACATGCCTCTAAGTTAAAAAAGCAAAACACGGGGCGCCTGGGTGGCTCAGTTGGTTAAGTAACTGCCTTCAGCTCAGGTCATGATCCCGGGGTCCTGGGATCGAGCCTGCATCGGGCTCCCTGCTCAGCAGGGAGCCTGCTTCTCCCTCTGCCTCTGCCTGCCACTCCCCCTGCTTGTGCGCTGTGTCAAATAAATAAATAAAATCTTAAAAAAAAAAAAAAAAAGCAAAACACTAAGGATAACCAATCACAAACAGCCAACCCAGGCTTAAACTTTTGCAACCAAGTAATTTCCTTTCTTGCTACACTCTTTGTAAGTCTCTCCCCTAGCTCTGATCTGCAGTGTTCCTAACCACTTTTGGTTTGGTGCTGCCGAACTGGAATTTGTTTTTGCCCTCCCCCAAAACTTAAAATTTTTAATATGCCTCAGTTTATCTTTTAAGAGTTCTAATGTGGGGCGCCTGGGTGGCTCAGTTGGTTGAGCAACTGCCTTCGGCTCAGGTCATGATCCTGGAGTCCCGGGATCGAGTCCTGCATCGGGCTCCCTGCTCGGCAGGGAGTCTGCTTCTCCCTCTGACCCTCCTCCCTCTCATGCTCTCTGTCTTTCATTCTCTCTGTCTCAAATAAATAAATAAAAAATCTTAAGAGTTCTAATGTGGAGGCCTGCTGCTGCAATAAATGGTCATGGTAAATCAGACCACAGTGATGGAAAACCAGAATCTGGCAGGAACTGACATAAACTGTGACTTTAAAGTCAGAATCAGGAGGCCATGTATCTCTCCAGGCAAAAGAAAAGCATGGGAGATCCTAGAATCCTCTATTTGGAAGGGATTTTCCCTTCTCATTTCAAGGCATCAACGTGCAATCAAGCCAGAGGCACATACCATGAACCACAATAGCTAGGGAAGACAGAACCTGCCAGAAGTAACGTTGACTCCCTAAGATGATGCAGCCCAGAACTATTCCATCCTCTCATTCACGTAGTTGTCTGGGTGAGCGTGCACAGGAGCTGCAATGAATCAATGTTTTGCTAAACTAGGTCCACTAAAATCCAAATCTCCAAATCCACTCTTAGGTTCATAACTTCATATGAAACAACAGCTCGGTTAAACAGGCATTTCTTTGCCCACAAGACCGCATGTTGCAACACTTGCAAAAAGCGTTTAAGAACCCACTTCCTAAAGTTAAGGCAGGTCGGCTGCCAGGGAGAAAAGGCTTTGGCCTTCGCACTCACCCCGCCACAGCCGCAGCCCCTTCTCGGAAGGCTCTAGAGCCGGGGTGGAGCCCATTCGGCCGGTTACCCGACAGGCTCTAGGCTCCTGAAACAGCGACAACCCGCGCGCCTGCCTCCTCGGGTGGCGCGGACGCTGCCGCGGGGCCATAAGCCCCGCGCTCGCCCACAGCGGATACTGGCACTTCCGGGAAACGGGACGCGCGCCGGGGGAGGCACGGTCCCTCACACCTCACACAATAGAGAACGTTGGCAGCTCACCCAGCTCACCCAGCAGCCTTGCCCCCCCCCCCCCCCACTTGCGCGCCCTCGGCCGCCTCCCGGACGCTCTCCTCCCACCTCCAAGGTGTGCGCCCTCCGTGGGAGCGAGGAGAATCGCCGTAAATGGCGGACGTGACATCACAAAGAGGCTGCTCTTTCAGGCCCCGCCCCCAAAGGCGCGCAGTGCACGCTGGCCCTCGTAGTCCTTCTGGGCAAGTGGTCCAGTGGAAGATTGACTCCTTCGTTAAGATGATTCAAATAGTAGAATGAGGTCGTATCTTGGAACACTAGTCTGAATTTCTGTCTAAAACAGCGCTGTCCCACAGAAATAAAATTTGAGCCCGATAATGTAATTTAAAATTTTCTGGTAGCTACATTTTATTTATTTATTTTTAAAGATTTTATTTATTTATTTGAGGGAGAGAAAGAAAGACAGCAAGAAACAGAACGAGCGGGGAGGAGACGGAGAAACAGACTCTCCAAGGGGATGGAGAGCCCGACCCGGGGCTCGATTGGGATCATGACCTGAGCTGACAACCGAGGAGCCACTCGGGCGCCCCTAGTAGCTATATTTTAAAAAGTGAAAAGAAATAGTGAAATTAATTGTAATCATATATTTTATTTAGCCTAGTGTGTCCAAAGTCGTATCATTTCAGCGTGTAACCAATATTTTAAAAAACCGAGATATTTTACATTTTTTCATACTTAAGTTTAAGAAATCTGGTGTGTGTTTTACACTAACATCTTAATGTGGACCAGCCACATTTCAAATACTCAATAGCCACACGTGGCTAGTGGCTGCTATATTGGATAGCGTGGGTCTAAAACCGTCAGGTTGCCAGGAATAGTAGCATAGCTTGTCTGGATAATTCAGAAGCCTGTGCCATCCAGCAGTTGTATACCTCAGTTCCTAAAGATGAGAAATTCATTTTTCTTCTTGGCACCCTTCAAAAGTTGGAGGAGACAGGAGTGCAGCTTACTTGACCCCATCCTTCTCTCTAGTTCTGAGGAAAAGGGCCACAGGCAACCTCCAAGGCTAAGGACCCTGCTCCTCATTCCTTTCTCTCCAACATCTTTAATCTGCAACTGCCTCCCTTTTCTGCCTTTAAAGAGGCACCGATCGGGGCACCTGGGTGGCTCAGTCGTTAAGCGTCTGCCTTTGGCCCACTCCTGGGGATCGGCTCCCTGCTCAGTGGGAGGCCTGCTTCTCCCTCTCCCACTCCCCCTGCTTGTGTTCCCTCTCTCGCTGTGTCTCTGACAAATAAATAAAATCTTAAAAAAAAAAAAACAGAAGTTGGGGCGCCTGGGTGGCTGTCGGTTAAGCGTGTGCCTTCAGCTCAGGTCATGACCCCAGGGTCCTGGAATTGAGCCCCGCATCGGGCTCCCTGCTCCACAGGAAGCCTGCTTCTCCCTCTTCCTCTCTCCGCTTGTGTTCCCTCTCTCGCTGTGTCTCTGTCAAATAAATAAAATCTTTAAAAAAAAAAAAAGAGGCACTGATCCTGGGGGGGGGTCATCAGATATCTCAGAAATTGGTACCACCATCTATCTAGTCAAATAAACTGTAAAGTGAGTCACCCTCGTCATTTTCCTTCCCGTAACCCCCACAATATAATCCACTGCCAAGTCCTGTTGATCTTAACTTCCTGTCTCTTGAAAACATCCATTTTTGTCCATTTCCATGGCAACAATCCAGTCTGTCTTCCCTTTGGATTGCTATGCTAACCTCTAGACTGTCACCTTTCTTTGCCCAACTCCAATTCTTTTCCACAGAGCAGCCACACTGCTGTTTTTAAAACACAAATGTGACGTCACTGCTCTGCTTAAATACTTTAGTGGCTTTCCAGCACTCTCAAAATACAAAATCCCGTAGTAAGACTCAGAGATTACTCAAAATCCCATAATAGGGCTCATACCCCTGTATGACCAGCTTCCTCCTGCTTCATCTGGTGGTATATTTTCATGGGCTTCTGTACTCTATCTAGTGTCATCGGCCTTTTCTATGCTCTTGCCTACCTCAGGGCCTTTGTGCTTGTTGCTACACCATGGAAAACCCTCTCCTTCTTTGACTAGTTAACGCTCTATCTTCTTTCAGATCTTAGATTCTAATGTCCTTGGGGAAACCTTCCTTAACTAGGTCTATTAGAGTTTCTCAATACCTCATGGACCTCTCCTTCAAAGCATTTATTAGAACTGCCATTTTACACAGTTAAAAAATGATTTATTAAACGTCTATTTTCCTTACAAACCTAGAAGTGTGATGAAGCTTGAGACCATGTCTTTCTTTTAACTCCAGTACAGCAGTTAACAAATTGTAAGCCTTCTGTTGAAGGAGGTAATGAGGACTTTATAATTACAATCCTTCTGTTCCTTCTGGCTTTCATCCTATTTGTTATTTTTCCTGCCAAATCCCACAAACATATTGTCTACTGCTTCAGTTCATCTGTCTCCAGCCTCCTTGAGCCCAGACAGCTGGCTTCTGCCCCCAGCCTACTACTAAACAGCTCTTTATTTTTTTAAAAGATTTATTTGGGGCACCTGGGTGGCTCAGTCGTTGAAGAGTCTGCCTTCAGCTCAGGGCCCATGATCCCAGGGTCCTGGGATCGAGCCCCACATCGGGCTCCCTGCTCCACAGGAAGTCTGCTTCTCCTTCCCTTACTCCCCCTGCTTGTGTTCCCTCTCCCGCTGTGTCTCTCTGTGTCAAATAAATAAAGGAAATCTTAAAAAAAAAAAGATTTATTTATTTGAGAGAGAAAGCAAGCCCAAGTAGGAGGGGCAGAAGGAGAGGGAATCTCCAGCAGAGTGCGGAGCCTGACGTGGGGCTTGATCCCACGATCCTGAGATCACAACCTGAGCAGAAACCAAGAGTCAGATGCTCAACCAACTGCACTACTCAGGCGCCCCTAAACACATCTTTAAAGGTCACTTGTGACCTCAATGGTCCTTCTTGCCTTTTCCAGTGGTAGCGTTGCTTGAAGTCCAGTAACGTATCTTGAACATACACCCTCTTCTTTGGGGAGGTGGTTTTCATTTTAATTTAACACCGTCTTGCTGAAGGATGTGCCATCTGTAAGTGTTTCTTCTGAAATAGCACCTGGTCATATACCACCACTGCCAAGTGCTCCTGGAGCCTGCGTTTAAACACCAGCAAGGGGTGGAAATGCTCAACACTCTCTGAGGTTAATTCCCAGTGAGGACTCCGTGTGCTCAGATCAGTGTACCAGCTACAGAAGTGACAACTTGCTGTGAAGTAGACTCCTAAGCTGGGACACTTGCAGGTTTTGCTGAGATGCAAAACACAAGTCCTTCATGGTAGGACTCATCGATAGCTTCCCCCAGCTGCCTTGTGTGGCTGGGGGCTCCATTATAAGAGCAGGCCCTCAGCCATACCCTTGACTCATTCTTAGCCCAGGTACAATGAGCTGAAGGTAATGAGAGAAACCCAGAGTCATATTCAACATCATACTTACTGTTCCTACCCGATGTCCAATTAGGTGTAAAATCCAACGCTCAACCTTTCCTCTCAAATTGCACTTCCTGTTTGTCCCATTTCAGTAAATGACAACTCTTCAGTTGTTCAGACCCCAAACCTTAAAATCGTCTTTGAATCCTTCTGCTTACAACCCACATCCCCTCACCAGATCCTATGAACCTGAGGACCAGGCGAAGTCCAATGACATGTAAGCACCTCCGTTAGTTCAAACTGTCAGCCACCATCTCCCTTTCACTCTTGCCCTCCCCATGCTAACTACTGCAGTATTTTCAAAGCACTCTGCTCAAAACCCTCCAATGGCTTCTCATGTCACTCCTAACAAAACACACACTCAGCATGGCTTACAGGGGCCTGTGTGATCTGGCCCCTCAGGGACTTTGCTTACTCTTCTCCAGCCATACCAGACGCTTTGCTATTCCTCGAAAATGCAGTCCTCAGAGCGCCTGGCCGGCTCAGTTGGTAAAGTGCGCAGCTCTTGTTCTTGGGGCTGTGGGTTTGAGCCTCACATAGGGTGTAGAGATTACTTAAAAATAAAATCTTTTAAGAAAAACGCAGTCCTCTAGTCTGGATCACCCTTCCTTCCCCAGATGTCTCCAGATCTCTACTTAAATGTCACCTAAAAGTTTTCCCTGATCACATATTTAAAATAGCACTGTCCCCTCACCCCCCCTTTTTTTCTTAGTATGTACCAGAAATATACATTTAGTTGTTTCTTGTCTGGTTGCCCTCGACCCCTAAACAAATACAAGTTCCACAAAAGCAGGGACTTGGCTTTTGTTCACTGCTCTCCCCAACCCCCCAGCACAATACCTGACACAGAGCAGACATTAATATAAATTTGGTGAATGAATAAAGTGGTATAATCCTAAACATCCACTAGGCCAGCTGTCTGAGTAAAAGTTGATGTTCCATGGTAAACACAGTCATGAGACGCAAGTAGAGACAAACGGTTTACTTGGGAATAAGAAGTAAAAAGGAATTTTTAATTCCTCTTCTCTCTTCTGGTGCCTGAACTGAACCATGATCATCAAATGGAAAGCAACACACAAGAATTCCTCTGCAGTCCTTGAACTTGTGCAGAAATGCAGAGAGGCCTGAGTTACACGACTTGCAACGATGGTTTTTCTAGACTGAAGTGCCAGCTGTTGTGCTTTCTAAGGTATCAGCGGGGGCTCCGCTCTCTTTCTTGTCTTCAGGTTTCATGGCAGGAAACAGAAGTACTTCCTACAGGAGAGAAAATGCACTTTGAAGTAAGAAGCACGCTCTTTTCCACAGCTATCCACCCATTCCTTTTGCTTCCGGTTATTGTTGCCACCCAAATCCAGAGATCTGGGTTTTTACTTCAACTCAGTCCCTCTCAATTATAGAGGATGGAAAAGAATGAGTGAACACAGAGCTTCTCTGACAGTAGGACTTCCCTATCTATAACAATGGGAATAACAACAGTGTCAATGCCTCACAGGGCTGACTCTAAGTTACATGAGAAAACGCACGCAGAGGACTTAGTGTGTTCCTTGGATCCTCAAGAAATGCAAACGATGAGTA